GTGCGTGTGTGTGCATGTGCGCGTGCGCGCGCGTGTCCGCATGTGCGTGTGTGCTTGTGTGTGTGTGTGTGTGTGTGTGTGTGTGTGTGTGTGCGCGCGTGTGTGTGTGTGTGGCCAGGGGGTCTGGGGAGGGGTGAACACTTGTTTCAGGGCCTGAAATCCAGGTGTGGGAGCGTGGTCGCAGAGGCCTCACGCGTGCCAGCAACTTGCAGTTCCTGCCGGCTTCCTCGGGGCGCTCCTGCTGTGTGGGGTATCGAGCAGCTTGGCCTGCCCTGCCACATACGCCAGCGGTGGGCTACACGCCAACGTGCACCGAATGGTGAAGGTAGGGGCGCGACGCTCAGAGTGATGGTTGCCGGGTAGTGGCGTCCCACCCACCTTGAAGGTGAAGCAGCCAGGCCGCGCAGGGTTTGGCGTGAGCGATGGCACAGGCGGCGCAGCTGACGGAATGAACACCAGGCCCTGCGTGTGGGTGTTGGTGTGTGTGTGTGTGTGTGTGACGGCGCATGTGTTGGAAGGGGCTGGCATCTGTTTGTGCATGCTCGTGTGTGCGTGAGCATGTGTGCAAGCGTGTTCGCGCACACATGCAAGTCCATGGAGAGAGGTAGGGCGGCCCTCCCTCATGTAGGAAACCGTTCTAGGGAGGGAGGAGGGGTTGAGACTGGCGCTGCCAAAACAGTCAGTCAATAACCACGCGACCCAGACAATGAAGGGCGCGCCAAGCCCAAAACTGAATGGTGAGGGTTGCCGCCCACTCACGTAGGTCTCGCCGGGCATGGCAATGCCACAAACGCCAAATTTGACCTGGGGCCGGGTGGTGGTGGGTGGTTGACCATGCGAGACAACGGCTGGGTGCAGACGCACGCAAGCGCAAGCACGATAGAACGGGGCACCGCAGTGAGCGGCCGGCTGCTGTCTGCTGCGGCCAGCACAAAACAGCGCGCCTGCTGCAAATTGGGGCTGAAGCAAAGTGAGCAGTCATGATCATCATTCCCGTTACAAGAGGCGCAAAAGTCCCTCTACTAGCATGTCTAGGTGGGTGTATGTCAAATCCTGTCCTGCTGTATCCTGACCTATGCCTCAAAATTTGATTTTGCATTGTCCCACTCCCCCCACTGCACACCTTGAAGAACCCGTTGTCTGCAAACTGGGTTCCCCATGAGTTGCGGCAGATCCAGTAGCCCTCCTCATTGTTATAACCCACGATGAGGATGGCTGGGGGGGGTGGGGTGGGGGTGATGGGGAGCCAGATCGAGGAGGGCGCTCATCGGAACAGGGAAGGGGATTCAGTGAAGGTAGGTTGAGTTGTGGGGCAGGGGTGACGTGTGGGGGGCACAGGAATCAACGCGGTAAGAAAAGTGTTGAGCGTTTTGGGTTTGTATGGCTCTCCTCATCAACATCAACAAATCAGGGACGTGCTGGGGGAACGCACTGGGGCCCGAGGCATGAGTGGGCCCGCTTCCAGCATGGGCAGTTGACAGATTCAATGGAAGCACCCGCTGGTTGGGGGTACATTGCATTAGACTGGAACTACGGCGCCGGTGTTCAGAGGTGGCTGTGGAGGGTGGTGCCATGCCGCTCTGCTTGACTGGCCCCCCTGCCGCAATGGCCACGCTGTGGCGTATGCGCGCGGTGAGTCCTCACCGTGAGCCTCCTCCATTTTTGCGTCCGGGCCATTGCCGGGGTACACGCCCTGCGCGTGCCAGGGAGAAGAAGGGTGCGGGCGATGAGGGGAGGGGAAGGGGCCCAGCGCTGTGTCGTTACAGGGCGTGGTGGGCGACGGGGCACCCCCGCAAGGGCGCCGCACGAGCTGCCCAACCAGTAGGCGCACTGCAAACGCTTGTGCACTCATGGGCCTGGGTACTTGATGGGGGATTTGTAGTCTGCAACGACTTGGAACACCGTTTCACCTTTGGTTGAGTGGCGAAGAACTTCTTCATGTCGCTGAAAATGAAAAACGGCTGTGGGAGGGGGACACATCACGCGGGAGCGGGGCGGGGGTCAAGGGAGAGGTGTGGGCAAAGGGCAGTGGCCTCCACCCAGCGGAACGAGTGTGGGGCAGCTGCCCTGCTGCTGCTGCAGCCCCGGCGGCCAGGCGGCTGCCAGCACGTGCTGCCTGGGCCTGAGGGTTGTCCCTCACGAAGGTCGAGATTGACAGATGAAGAAAAGAAAATGAGCACCCATGTGTTGGTCCAGCCTTGAGGCCAGGCCTCCAGCTCACCGACATGACCGCGCCATACCTCCGGATGTGGCGCTGCAAAAGAAGGGCAGCGCGGGCAGAGCGAAGGGGGTTGGGGGAGCTGTACAGCACGCCGGCGTGGAGCTCAACGCTCAGAGCGGCGCAGTGCTTTCAACTGCGGTGCCGCGCCGCCTGGATTGGGCGCCTGCTGTCACCAGCAAGATGACACGATGTGTCGCGCCCTGCGACCCACCCACTTTTGGGGTTCCCCCCCCACTGACCCACTGACCGCGCGTCACCTGGCCCACTCCCACCACCCCTGTTCATCTTTGCCCCCAAACCTGCACGTCTGCAAAGCCCTTCATTTGGGTGAACTCCCACCGCCCCGCGGCAAGCTCTGGGTACGACGTCTTGCATTTGAAGGTGCAGGTGTCGCTGTCGTCAACCGTGTCGCCGTAGGGCAGACACTCATTTGTCACCAGCTGGGGGTTGCCCACGAATTTGGTGAGGGCGTCGCGCAGGCTCCAGGGATCGTAGCACACTGTGGGGGGCCGAGGCGCATGCGTGCATCCGCGAGTGCATGAGTGAGGTGATATGAAGCGGACGCATGCTTGCACGTGCGTGTGCGATGTGCAAAAGCACCTGTGCACAAATCAGAATGCAAACTTAGTAATCTTGAACATTTGCTTGGGGCTCAAGTTTGTCCTAATCATTTGCAAGCGGATGTCAGATGTGTGTCTAGGGAACTCGGACGCCTCGGAGGGGTGAGGTTGGCTGCAGCAAGCGGGTAAGCAGCGGCCGCCAGGCATTGGGCTCAAGAGGGGTTCCGAGTGCGAACAAAGGGGGAGAGGCGCTCACGGCGGGGCGCCTTGGGGTCGCGGGGGCAATAGAAGAGCTGCGAGGCAGAGGGCACAGAGCGAAGCGGGGACAGAGCGAAGCGGGGACAGAGCGAAGCGGGGACAGAGCGAAGCGGGGACAGCGGTGGCAGGCGGGGTTGGGGGCAGGGTGACTTGCATAGGGTTGCAGCAGGCTCAGGGGCGCCCGATGGTGCAGGGGAGGGCATCGGATCGCCAGTGGTTCAGGACCAATTGGTTGCCTTGCCCTTGGCCCTGGCCTCCCAGTGGCCAAAGGTGGTTGTCACAGCCTAGCTGGGCCTGCAACAGGCCTGTTGCAGGCCCATTACACAACAGCAAGGCAGTTTGGCTGCAGCCGCCTCGGTTTGCGTGCTTTTGGTGCAGGCAGCTGCGCGAGACACGTATTCGTCAACAGCGACGATGCTGTTCTGTTATGACAGTTTAAAGGATGCCTCATCGAGTCAACATGCCAAGCGCCCTCTTGCCTGCTCTCTCAATCTCACCTGGCGCTCTGACAGGTCAAAGTTTGACCCCGGCTTCTGCAGGACGGAAGCCAGCGCCGCCTGTGCTGCACCCGCCACCACAAACGCCACGCACTGAGAGGAACGAGGTGGGAGGCAGGCACACTCATAAATCTCCCGCGACGAATGCTGGTTGGGCATTGCGGGGGCAACGGCAGGCGACCAGGGCGCTGGAGCCTTGAGGCGGGACCGGCACCGCGCACGGTGCTCCTCGCCAGCACCGCCAGGGCGCGGTTGCGCACTGGGCGGGGCGCTCTTGTGCACGGCAAAGAGCGCCTCTCACCGTGTGGCAGTCTGGTGAGGGGTGAAGCCGCCGCAATTCATCATTAAGGGTGGGACAGGCAGGGGACGGGGCAGAGAGGGGTAGGAGGCTCATTGGGCGGGCAGCAAGGGGGCAAGGGTGCTGGAACAGATCAACGGCAGATCCAGTGTGTGTGCCCTTTTTGCCTGCAACTCGTTATCGGGAAAAGCAGCTTCCACAGCCGCCGTGGTGCCCCAGACCCTCCACGCCACGACCTCACATGGCACTTTAGCAGCCCCCCGTGAACCTGCACTCGCCTGCCCCTCCGCACCTCCCTGGTCCTTGGCGGGCCCTACGTAGCTGGGCCCGCCCGTGTCTCCTGGAAAGGCGGAGCTGTAGGCCTGGGGGGGCAACCGATTTGGGGGTTGGGCCTTGGAGAGGTCGAGGCCATCACGATCGCGAACGCGCGCTTGCGTGTCCACGCACTCACACACAATCTCACACACACACACACGCGCGCGCGCGCACTCACTCACACGCACGCACGCACGCACGCACTCACTCACTCACTCACACGCGCACACGCACGCACGTGCACACACGCACGCACGCGCGCACACCCGCACACGCGCGCACACGCACTTGCATACGCACTCGCACTCACACTCGAACACTCACACGCACACTCACACGCACACACGCACACGTCCACGCACACACACCAGTACACGCGCTATTGGCCCCACCTGAGGCGCCGTAGCCACCATCATGGTCGCCCTCTGATCCTCAGCAGAGTTGGTGCCCGACGCCGCACATAGCGGTCGTTGACCGCTGCCGCCCTGTGAGCACACGCCCTTCGCGGCGCCCTTGTAGCTGTTGGCGTAGTCACTGCGTCAAACAGGGGTACAGAGTGGCCGCGCATGCGCAAGCTTTGGCGGGCTGAAGCAGTTGCAGGGCCAGCGGGCCCTCACACGTACATACAGATAGACCACAGCAATGAGCGAGCACCTGGAGGTGGGCGGCAGCACCATGCAGCACAAACACGGGGTCGCGTGCGGATCCCGCCCGCCGCTCGGTGACCCCACCTGATGAACTTTTTCGCGAGGGCGAATGTGGAGGCCAGCTCATTCTGCGCCCTGCTGGCGCCCAGCAGGACCTTGGTGGATGCCAGGGGCAGCTCCAGGCCCTGCCCTGCTCGCATGCAGGCGTGTGGGTGCGAGTGCATTCGTGAGCACGCACGCGCCTTCATTTGACGCCGGGAAGGGGCGTGCGGGGTGCTTCAGTGCCCCTCCAGCGCTGCTGAGCTCACTGGGCACCTGCACTGCGCCCTGCTTTCCAAAAGCTGCCCTTCAAGCAGCTGTCCGGGCTGCCTGCTACTTTGCGGCCGTCCGCTCACACAGTCCGAGCAGTGTGCGGCGGCTGCGCCCAGTGCAGCCAAGCGCACAGCAGCGTGTGTCCGGGAGGGGCGGGACGCTCACCGAGAGCGCTGGGCGCAAGCGCTGCTGCTAGAAGCACCACCAGCGTCCACAAAAGCCGCAGATTCGAGTTTCCATGACGACTCGCGCGTTGTCGCGGCCTCTCAGCACGCGGGCCAAGCACCATCATCGTGGCCGGGTGTTCACGGGTGAGATCGAGAACCTACAAATCCGTATGCTATAAGACCCACCAGACTAGCTTATCATGTCCCTATCTGCTGCTGACTTCGCGTAACCTGGCTGGAATGAAGTGTGAGGATGGCAAAGTTGGCCGCGGTGCGCTGCAAGCCTGGTCGAAACCATAACACAAGCTGGATGAGATTTTATCATAAGGAAGCCTAGGTGCAAAGGGGGTTGACACGCTAATTTACGGGCGTGGCTACACGGCAACTGCAGGGCAGCTTGACTCAACCCTGGGGCGAAAACAGCAGTTCGCCACAGCAGCAACGGGGTGAGGCAGAGCAAAAGCATCTGTTGAACGTGATTCAAGGTGTCTGCATGCCAGTCCACCTCACCTGCGAGCCGCGCGGTCCATGCTGTATGTCGCCTGCCCGTGCAACAACACCGGGCGTGAGGATTGCAGCACCCCAGTTGCTGAGCAGGGCTGTCGTGGCCTGTGCAGACCGCAGCGCCGAGTGCGCACTTGGTGGTCGAGCTCAAGGGTGAGAGCGGACACGCAGTCCTGCTGCACTTCGCCCACGCACCCTGCACCACGCCCTCCGCTTGGCTGGAGCACCCCCGACCTCACAGCCTTGCACCAGGCCAGGCCCTTTCAGTCCTGCTCAACCCATCAGCGAGGGTTACATTGAGCTTAAAGGATGCACAGGCGAACTCCTTCCTGCATCGGCACACCGCAGTGCATTGCAGGCAGCCTGCATTCTGGTGCCGACCCCCACCTGCTCATCATCACCCAGATGCCCTTATTATTCCTCCCGAGGGCACGCATTACACGTCACGCTTGCAGCGCCCACATATACGGCAGGCAGGAGGGACAAAAAGATCGCGCTCACGCAATAGCATCAACAGGAGAAAGCTTCAGAAAGGCCGCTAACACACAAGGGCAAGTACAAGCACCAGGCGCCGCGCGGGAACTGCCCAGCGACAATCTTTCCGGCGCTGTAGACCAACGGAGATGAGTACATGCAACAAGCACACACAAATACTGGAAAAACAGACGAGCTGAAGGCTGAATGCTGAAACACAGATGAGCAGGCGGGCCGTCTGGGCATGTATAACACTGCGAGCGGCATGCGGCTGAACAGTTGCTGTTTGAGCCAAGCTCAGGCTTTATAAAGCCACACGCACACAGCGTGGCTGGCGCGAAGCATTTTCAAAGGACACATATGCGCACAGTGCATTTTCATTGATCGCAAAAGTTTTGGGTGCGTGGCGCACCAGTGTGGAGTGCGGAAGCCCGCGGCCTCGGCAGCGAGCGGCTCGCCTGAACCCGCACAAAAGCAATGGGCATGGCATCAAGCAGTGCGGCGGTGGGGGCGGGAGGACAGGGCCTGTGCAAATCAGAAGGTGTGCATGCTGACACGAAGTCAAGCGCAAATGACTAGGGGGCAGTGCAAACGCGTCCCAGGGATTAACGGCTGGCGGCTGCCTCGTTGCCAGTTGCTGCCTGCGCTAGTTGCTGCCTGCTAGTTGCTGCTAGCGGCGCGAATGTGGGGATGTCTGTATCAAGTTGTGCAAGGGGCTGAGGCTTGCGACCTACGAGGGGCATGAGCAACGACAGCATCCAACAGCTGCAGGAACCCACTCGATCTGCACATGGGCTCGCCGAGACCCCCAGAGTTCTGGACCAAACGACACAGGAAAAAGCAGGCACCCTCCAGTGGCAGTGACAACGGGCACGTCTGAGGGCACAGCGGCTCGGGCGAGCACTTGTGCAACAGCAACAAACACTCGTCATCTCCGTTGCTGCGCAGGGGTCTCCGTCGCTGACAGGTGGTCGTCTTCGAGCCACCTGCGGAACACAAAGGTCCACTTCTTGCCGGTTGAGGGCGCCTCAACCACCACAGTGTCCAAAAACCACCCGGGTGCAAAGCCTGTGCCGTCTGAGGTTATGCGGATGCGTTTGATGTTCCCGAGGTCCGGGGCTTTCTTGAAGTTGAAGGCAACAGTCTGTCCGACAACGCGAGGTGCGGGGGCCAACACGGGACCTGCGCTTGCAGCAGAGCGGGCGGGTGGGGTGTCGTGGGGGGCGTGGAGGAAGCCCGCACGGAGGCAGAGGCAGTGCCAGGCCCCGCCTCCGCAGCGACCCCTCAAATTCCCGCTTCTGCACGCCCAACTCTGTTCGGCCACCCTGGTCTGCAACCTCGTTGCTGCACCAGCTGGCGTCAGCAAGACAGCACGCTCGTGCGTGAAGGCAGCGCCGTCAATATCACCCACCGTATGAACCCTTATCGCCCTCCAAAACGTACGTCACTGCGGCATCGGTGCCGGCAAACACAACGTTGCCCGTGACCTCGGAAACCCTGTGGGCAACGGGTGTTTGGAGGGGGGGCCGATTGAACCCAACCAGGCAGGACAAGTGCGAGCGTTGTTGACAGGCAGGGGGGCGCTGCCACAGCAGATCGCGAATCGCTTGTACCAGTCATGAGGTAGGTGTGGCATGATGCCGGCAGGAGCTGCACAACAGCAGGGCATCAAGAAGCAGCATGGTGGAACGGGCGATGAGCAACCCTGATTTGATGTGCATGTTGCCTCGGCCCCGTACTCGTGCGCCGAGTGCGCTCACTTGTAACCCGCCCACAGCGCCTCTGTGGCGGTTGCTAGCGCAGCAGGTGAGGCAGACGGTGTGGGCGCGGCAACGACCGGGGGCGCAGCATATGCTGGCGGTGCCTCTGCCCTTCCCGAGTAAAGCACCGGCCTGGTGCCCTGCGTCGCAACTGGCACTTGCTGCTGCTGCTGCTGCTGCTGCTGCTGCTGCTGCTGCTGCGGCTGCGGCGGCTGCGGCGGAGGCGGCGGCTGCTGCTGCTGCGGCTGCTGCTGCCGCTGGGGAGGTGGTGGCTGCTGGGGCGACGGCGGCGACGGCTGTTGCAACGGTTGCTGCTGCTGTGGCGGCGGCGGTGGCGGCGGTGGCGGCGGTGGCGGCGGCTGCTGCTGCTGCTGCGGCGGAGGGGACGGCTGTAACGGCTGTTGCGGGGGCTGCGGCTGCTGTGGTGTTGCTGGCTCAAAAGCTAGAGGAGGGCGGCCACCGCCGCCGGTTGGCAAGTTTCTTGTTGGGTTGCAGACTGTCACGAGCTGCCCCGGGTTGAGGAAGGCCAGGGCGCGGAGTCCGGGGCCGATGATGGGTGTGGCCTCGTTGGACGCCAGCAGTTCCCCTGCAGCAGCAGGGCACACCGTGGGTGAGAGTGTCGCTTATGTGCTATGTCTGTTTGAAAGAGTGTTTTGAAATGTCATGCATGTGTGGTGTGCTCGTATGCATGTGTTTTACACCTGCATGTGTGCGATGCCATCTGCAAGGCATGAATGAGGACATGCCAGCACCAGTTTTGCACAACCGCTTGCAATGGACCTTTGTCTCGTGGCGCGGACGTGCTTGGAGTACCCTGGTGCAACTTGCAGTGCACGTTTCCCTTTTGTCAACACCCACCCACGGGCACGCCATACATGTCAGCAATCTGGCTGGCGTAATTGGCCGCACCAGCCTGCGGGGTCGTTCAGTGTGGGGTGTGTGTGTGTGTGTGTGTGTGTGTGTGTGTGTGTGTGTGTGTGTGTGTGTGTGTGTGCGCGCGTGTGTGTGTGTGCGCGCATGTGCGTGTCGTGCGTATGTGCGTTTGTGCGCATCTGTGTGTGTCAGGGGGGGGGGGGCTGAGGTCAAAAAGAGGAGAGCTTGTAAGGACTCAAGCTATGTTGTCCAGGCAAGAGCGAGAGTAAGAGTCACACGACCGTAAAGCAGTCCCGGATACTGCCTGCTGGCCAAGCGCCGCCTGGCCGCACACGGGTACAGGGTGTGAGAGAGAGGGCGGGTAGCCCAGCCAGCCCTGCCATGCAGCGCAGTGGCGCGGCACTCACAGCGGCGTGCGGATTGGTAGAGGTGGGCACCGCCGCGGCACATGTTAGCGGATGCAAGGCGATGTGAACACACACCACTTACCTTGAACAAAAAGCAGCCCGGCCGAGCCGGGTTTGGCGTTAGGGGAGGCACAGGAGGCGCGACAGAGGGGACATATATTAGGCCCTGTGTAAATTTGAGGCGTGAGGTTGTGAGCGGGCGTGAGGTGCAGAAGTGTGTTTAAGCGCGCGCGCGTGAGTGTGAATTAGAAAGAGTAAGAGAGAGAGGGAGAGAGAGAGTGTGTGTGTGTGTGTGTGCACGCGTGCTCTAAGAGTGTGTGTGTGTGCGCGTGCGTGTGTGTGTTTGTGTGCGCGTGTGTGCGCACGTGCACCTCTGCGTGCGTTTGTGTGTGTGTGTGTGTGTGTATGTGTGTGTATGTGTGCGCGTGTGTGCATGCGTGCATGCGCGCGTGTGTTCGGGCTTGTCTGTGTCGTGGGCAGGAGGGAAAAGGTGTGCTCATGCAGCTCATGCATTGCATATGCAGGTGAAACTGCAGGCATAAACGTTTCGCATTGGAAGTTGTGAAATGCAGGGGTTGAAGCTGTACGAAATGGCACCGAGGAAAGAGAGAGATGTGGCAGCCAATGGCTACAACCATATGTGAAAAGGCACTGGGGCGATTTTGCAAAAGGATTATGATGTTCTAAATATTGTGATACGGCGTGCCAAGTCCATGTGTGGCCATGCAGGGGTGATGCTGCCCACTCACGTAAGTCTCCCCGGGCGTGGCGATGCCGCACACACCAAACTTGACCTAGGAGGGTGGGTGGGTGACTGGGTCAGGGGATTACGTTTTTGAGGAGCCTCTGAGGATGCATGCTAAATGGCTGGGTGGCTGGGTGAAATTGTGGCTTTTGGGCTTCGTTGCAGGGCGGGGGCTGAGTGGTGAGCCTGGTTGACGGAGGGGCTGCATGAGGGGCGGAGAGGATGCGGGCACCCATGCACTTTGAACAGCGGATGGGGTAAGGGGAGTGGCAGGTGCGCAGCTGCCTTTTATCCCTGTCCTGGACGAGATCACATGCGAACTTGCATGCTGACCGCACAAGTTAGGTCTGGCAGCCAAGAAGGTGTCCAATTCAGGTGTCGCCCAATCGCAGCACATCTCAGCCGCATTTCTTGCCATGTCCTGCAATATCCTGACGCGTCTTGATGCCAGCCCTGCCCTGTCGTGTTTCCCCGCCACACACCTTGAAGAACCCGTTGTCTGCAAACTGGGACCCCCATGAGTTGCGGCAGATCCAGTAGCCGGCTTCGTTGTTGTACCCCACGATGAGTATGGCTGAGGGGGACAGGGGTGGCGGAGTAATGAGAGGGGAGGGGCTGGGGTGATGGGAGGGGGGAGTGCTTGCAATGTTGGAGTTACAAGTGGAGATGAGGTCAGGTGCAAAGGGACCATTCCACATTGGGGGGCTTCAGGCAGGGTCTGCGTTGGCAGGAGGGGGGTTGCCGAGGTGCTGGATGGCAGATGACGGTCCACATGTTTGTTGCGAGTGTGTTCCGACGAGGAGCAAGGGGTGAGCGTACGCATGGGGTGCACAACAGCAGCCGGCTGTAGGTGGCCCTGCTGTCAGCCCTGGGTTGCCCCTAAGCGGGATGGAGGGCGTGGCTTGCAATCTGGGTCCCCGGCACCACTGAGGGGTAGTCACAGGGGCATTGACTGAGGGTTTGTCCGCACTCGCGCACTTCTGGAGGCATCCAGGCTCATGGGATTTGACTTCCAACATTGACTATAATCGGGGACTGCACACCCCTGCAGCCCGGCCGGCCACCCTCGCGTGAGGACCGCACCCCAGCTGCGCAATTACCGTGGGGTTCCTCCATTTTTGAGCTGGGACCGTTGCCAGGGTAGACGGCCTGCACATGCAGGGTAGAGGGGGGGCGATGTGCTGCGGATCAGGCAGAGAGGACTGTCCGGACGCCGGCTGGAGAGCGGAGGCTGCCGCCTAGATGAGCTCAGCTGTTGGAGTGGGTGGGTGTCGGCTTGCGTTCTGTCCCGGCCGGCTTGCGTTCTGTGCCGGCCGGCAACGTCTAGTTGCAACACAAAACGTGTCAGGGGCGTTGTCGCGGCAAAGGCGGGGTTGTGGGAGGGAAAACCCGCTGCAAATACAGGCGCCACACGGGCTTAACAGTGCATGATGCAGCGCACAAGGCGGCTAGCATGCGGGTAAGGGATGCAGGCGTGTGGGAGGGGTGGACATGACACTGCATACACATGGCATCTCGCACCTTGGTGTCATTGGCGAAGAAATGTTTCAGGTTACTGAAGATGTAGAACGGCTGCACGGGCGGGCGGGTGCGGCTTGCTCAGAGGCGGGGCAATCGGCGGTACGGGGTGGTTGTGGATCAGGACCAGAAGCGTCCAACCAGCAAGGGCAGCCCGGCGCAGCGGCTGCCGGCGCGGGCGCAGCTGTCCCAACGCCGCCGCAGCGGCAGCAGGCAGGGGCCCATGCGCTCCAAATGTTGCTTCGGCCTGGAGTTTGCAGCGCTCACACAACGCGGGGCGGCGGCCGCCCGCTCACCGACATGACGGCGCCGTACCTCCGGATGTGGCGCTGCGATGAGGCACACAGGGGTGGTCGTTGAATGTTGGGTGGGGGAGGGTGAACGTGGCGCTTGGCACCGCGACCTGCTGCCTGCCTGCTGGTTGGATTGCCGACTGCCTGTTTCTTGCAAGCATCCACAGTTTCTCCCCCTCCCCGCCCCCCCACCAATAAGCCTGCTGATTGGGGCGTGGCACGTTTGGCCAGCCCTCAACCCCCCCTTAGACACCTGCACGTCTGCAAAGCCCCTCATCTGGGTGAACTGCCACTGCCCAGAGGCCAGCTCTGGGTATGATGTCTTGCAACTGAACGCGCAGGTGTCGCTGCCGTCGTCAATCGCGTCGCCATAAGGCAAGCATGCGTCCGTCACCAGCTGGGGGTTGCCCACGAATTTGGTGAGGGCATCGCGCAGGCTCCAGGGATCGTAGCACACTGTGGGGGGCGGGATATGAATGTGCATATGCATATAACGCGTTTATGTCTCTGAAGGAGTTTGAATTTGAGTTCGTGTGCGTGCGCGCGTGTGTGTGTGTGGGGGGGGGGTTCGGTGCGCGTGTGCATG